CATATGTACCTGTTATCATTTTTATTTACACAGAAAGTACTGTTTTTCTCTTTCTGAGGATTTGCTAATGTGCAACTTAGACCTCTAGTCAGCATTAAGAAATACAATCACCAGCCACCACACAAAATAGAAAAACAAAAATATGACCTTTTTTCATGATGTTTTCTACTGTAGGAATGTCAGGGACCACTGAACAATTTTATAGAAATTTTGTCTGGTTAAATATGTCATATTACAAGCATCTGCCAGAATCACAATTAACATATTCTTTTAAAAGTGTCTATATAACATTAAAAACAACAAATATAAACCTGAAAGCATGTTCTCCAAAGTATTGACAGTAATTTGGTTGGGGATGTGTGTGTTTAAGGGATATTTTACAGAGGTCTTTACCTACATAATGTATTTCTATCTAACAATATGCCATTATTACTAACATAATCAGAATTTAAAAATAAAAAATGCAAAAGGCTTCCATTTCCTCTGCCATTATGTATAGCATTATGTATAGTATTTGCCTATTTTTAGAAAGTGAAATACAACAAAAAATTTAGTAAATCAAGTGCCTACAGAAAGTGAAATATAACAAAAAATTTAGTAAATCAAGTGTTTTTTTGTTCCTTTCCTTTTCGTGGTGGGGGAAAATGTGCCACACCTCTCTAGCACTCATTTGGTTGAATCCACTGCCCCATGAGGCACAGTGATGATCACAGACATGTCTGGTTCCTTGACATGTTCTTCCCTTGACCTCTTTAAATCTTTTTCTTGTCTTGTACACAAGCTTAAACTTTCACTCTCTTGGAGTCGTCAGTCAAATATCAAAGTGACTGCCCATCCCCCCAAAAAGAAATTTTTCTTTTAAATAATCAAAGTGATTATTTAAATATATTTTTAAAAGGAATATGATTGTGTGTGTATGTGTGTGTGTATGGGGGTATTTGAACTACAAGTATGAAAAATTATACTCCAAACTGTCCCCTCAGATAAAGATCAAGAGAAACAAATAGCTGAGGTAGTTAAATGCCTCAGGGTTTGCCAAAGATTCACAAGGGGCAGCCTCCAAGGAACTCAATCTTCTTATGACCTGGGTTTACCTCAAGATCATCCCAGGATTATCAAAAAGTCATCCAGCAATCGTAGCAACCAATATTACCAATGAAATTTTCTCTTATTAAGTTTCATTAACTTTGAAAGGGGAAGACACACATACAATTCTATGTCTGAAAAATACCAGCTAGGATCATCATCATTAATCTGAAAAAGTTATTTACATTGTCATTCCTTTTCATTTTTTAAATCCACAGAAATGCCTGGATTAAGAACTACGGATTACAAAGTATTTAGCTAGGAAGGAGACAGTTATTGTGACATGCTCACCCATTCTTTCCCTTTTCTCATTCATATCCATTTTCAATGCTGAGAAACTTGGTGGGTTTTCCCATGTATTACACACATTAAAAAACAATGCAAAAACAACTCACCTGTTGATCATGTCATCCAGCTTTGCCAGATCAGTATGTGGAAATGCAGGTTCCTCATCTTCAAGCTGTGGTGGGGCATCACCTTGACCTTGTTCATCTGGGGGAGTTGCTGGGGAATTCTCATTGGAAGAATCAGGCGATGAAGTCTTAATAAAAAAGTAAATATTCTAAAGTAAGTTTCTGTAACATATGTACAAAATCCACCAATTCAAATACTAATATAGATGAAGCAAAAATCTTGTATATAATTTTAAAAGACAGAATAATTAAAATCATATGTTGTTTCAAGCAGAAAGTGCAGTGTTTCAGGCAGCCTCTGTGCTACTGTGCTTTAAAATAATGTCATTTAATCCACAAAAGCCTAATGAAATATTCCACTGCCATTTAATAGATAAGAAAACAGACAGTAACTAACGAGCCTAAGGAAACACAGTTCAAAGTCCATAGCCAGGAACTGAACACAGGTCTAACTGCTAAAATACATTTTTTTCAATGTATTTTACTGAAATATAACTTATGTACAGTGAAATACACAAAACTAACGAGACATGGGTCAATGCTTTTTTTTTTCCCCTTCAGTGTTCCCTCCCACCCCTGGTAACGAACAAAGAAAGTTTCCTTCCATATATAAACCTTTCCTTGACTTTTTATAATAATGAACTAATACTGTATTTGTCCTTCTGTGATTGACTTCACTCAGCATAATGTCCTCCAAGTTCATCCACATTATACGGTGTTTTGCAGATTCTACATTAAAATACATGTTCTTAATCACAATGTATACTGCTTCTTTGCTTACACTTCCTATTATGAGTCATGATAGAAATTATACTATTAGTATGAACTATCACATTTTACAGATTGACAAGTTCCTGGTTTATTTTTACTTTCACTTTTTAATTTGATGGGAAAAAATTGTATTCTACAATTTCCCTACTCTCAAACTGCTATTCAAAACAATTATTTAAAACTTCTTGATTATGGTTTCTAAATAAGTCACGTCACTTTCAATATGACTATGTCAATATGACATTTTCATTTCTTTCATTCCTCATATTTAGTACACCTTTCTCTTTCCCTTCTAGTTATCAATAATATCTTCACAACTAAGTGAATGAACTTTTACAACCCTTTATTCTTAATCTCGGAGTCCCTGGGTGGTGCCAATGGTTAAGCGCTCAGCTACTAACTAAAAAGCAACAGTCCAAAAATCCTTCAGAGGCACCTCAGAAGAGGAGCCTGGCCGTCTGTTTCTGAAAGGTCAGTCTTAAAAACCCTACAGAGTGTAGTTCTACTTTGCACACATGGGGTAGCCATGAGTTGGAATCGACTTCACAGCAACTGGTTTTTATTCTTAATTTAGAAAGCAGGCGGTATAGTCTTTCAAAATAGAACCAAACTAAATTTTAAACTGACATGTTCCTGAATTTTCCACGCACTGTAGATTAATGGCCCTTTTAGAGAAGTGCTCCTCTCATCATACTAGAATGTATTTAACAGTTGTATAATAAACAGCCACATAAGTAAGTGCTTACATGAAGATATACAGATATATCACCATTAAGATGTTACAGAGACTATATATGAATTCATATAGCCAATGAGCAACAAAATGGTAAACATTTACTTAGGATGGAAACAACACTGTACAGGTGCCATAAAGCTGGTCTCAAGGCAAAAGAATTTATAAAACAGAATTCAAGTGTTAGGAGCCCAACAGAAATATTTGCATTTTAAGTACTTAACTTTAGAAGCCAGTCCCCATCCCACCCTCCAAAAAAACCTTTTCCTCTCGATAATGTATTATATATATTCTCCTAGAAAACGTAAAGATAAAAATAATATTTCTTTTACTTGTAATATCACACCAACAGATAAATACCGATCACATATTCAGTTATTTCCTTCTGAACTTTATTCTATAGGCAAAAAACCCTGTTCAAAAATGTATAAATGGGATTATACTGTTTTAAGATAGTGTCTTTTTCCCACTCAACATGTGAGTGCTTTCCCACACCATAAGATGTTTTTGTAAAAATTAAAATAGAGGACATCTTTAACTTTTACTGATAACAGAAACAGAGCTATAACTAAATTTTTAACATATACTTGAGTTTTCCTTCTCTGACAGGTTTCCATCTTACACCAGGTTCTGGCTTTTGCAGGTTCTACTGTACTTACTGGCGCCTAAAATTCTTTCCTGTGGGTTCTTTTTAACATATTCTCTATTAAATTAAAAAAAAAAAAAAAGGCTCATTTTAGAGAAGCTCCCTTTACAACAACATGTCAAAACCATATCCAAAAAGTGAATTTTAAGTTGGGCAGTGATTAATTCTGTGGTTACTTCTTTCAATAATATCAGATCCTACAAAATAATTAGAATCTTAACATTAAAAGGTAGAGAATATGAGAGCAAGTGAGGAATCCACAGGTTAAGAATGTAATTTGTTTTCTTTGTTGCTTTAAATTACTAGTCATCTTAAAAAAGTAAAGCTATTAGAAAAAGTTGATGTATAAATATCAAACCGAATTATCACAAACTCAAGAGTGCTGAGAATTATCATCAAGTGTACCTTAAAATAAAAGATTAGTAGTTTAACTTTCATCTAAAGCCATCCAAGCCACAAACATTGCAAAGAGGTTAGGATTCCATGTACAATGAGTGTAAAACAGAAAGGAGAGAGCGAAAGATACTAGAACTCTACTAGGTCCTGGTTTAAAAATAGAAATTTTTGGTATACAAACCTTTATCACACTTCTCTAAAATGGCAGGAGGGGGAGACACAAAGCTCTTTATCATTACCTATGATAGAGACGATTTAATCTACAACAGTTGGACAGTAAGAACTTACTCCAAAATGAGAAATATACTCTGAAATTATAATTTTGCCTAAAAGTTTAACTACACAGAATTCTACATAAACTTGCACTAACTCTAAGAAGCACGTTTGTGACTCATGTACATGCACCTCAACTATAAATTTAGCTCTCAGCATTGTTTTAGCTGCATAGTATTATCATTCAGTTTAACATTTCCTACTATAAAGTTGTATATTTTATAAAAGGCTGAAAAATCAATGAACTAAATGTCCATCCAAAACAGAAAGAGAAAAAAATATACCAAAAATAGCAAATCAACTCAAAGGAAGAAAAGACAACAGAGATGGGGTGAAAACATACAAGAAAAAGAAACCCAAGCCAAAAGTCGTTCAATAAAATTGATAAACCACCAGGAAAAAATGATCAGGAGAACACAAATTAGCAATATCAGAAATATTATTTATTAATAATAATATGAACCAGATATTACCATAGACTAAGACACAAAAAAGATAATAAAAATTAAAGTATTATAAACACCTTTACTCCAGTAAATGTGACAGTCTTGATGAAATGGACTAGTATCTTGATGAGGACAACTTAAAACAAAATTGAAAATTTCTCTATTAAAAAATAAGTTAGATCTATAATTAAAATCTTTCCATAAATAAAACCCAAGGCCAGATAGTTTCACCAATAAAACCTTCTAAATGATTAATGAAGAAACAACAGAAAACTTATACAAATTTGTCCATGGTCTTAATCATAGGCTACAATGAATGATTTAATGCTTTTGCTCCAGAATTCACACAGGACTTAAATACTTAAATTCAACAATGATTTACAGCGAAGACGTCAGAAAAAAAAGGGGTACATACTCAAGCATAACCATGTACAGCACTTGATCTTTCTCACTCTGTAAGACTCATGTTTACTTTTCTTAAATGAAGCTTAAAAAGTTTTAGGCTACATCAAAATTTATTTGAGAAATGCTCCATCATTTGGTACACCACAGTATACATATACCAAGGTAGCTTTAACTAGTATTTTCAACATCCTACCTGATTCTGTTGGGGAGGAGGCTGAGACTGCCCATCAGGAGCCTGGCCCTGGTTGTCATTCCCTCCTACTGGAGAGCCACGAGTCGTGGCTGTCATACTCGACACAGGGCAGATCTTTGCAATTTTGTCTGCTTATGTAGTTGTCTTCAGAAAAGAAATTATAGTCCACTTATAGAAGATGAAGTACCAGCATATGTCAGTCTTAAAAAGCGCCAATTCAAGAATAAACCATCTTGCAGAGACCATTGCATAACCTACCAAAAGAGAGAGAGGGAAAAAAAGCATGTTTTAAAGATAAAAATATGAATTAAGAAACTCAAATTTTAATATGCTTAATACCAACAGTAAATCTATTCAGAAGTTGGCTGTATAAGGGGACAAAGTGTAAAGCTCAAGTTCCATCAACACTATATTCAACAACAAACTGATAATGTTAAACAAGTTGGTATATGAAGAAACATACGGAGCACAGCCTTATTATGTAATATTCCAGTTTTTTCTTGATAACTCCAAAGACATGAACACGATACTTATTTTGCCAATTTTATTAAATTATGAAATGGCAAAACTATGTCTTCACTGCAAATGCTGAAGGCTGGAGTCTTTGACCTTCATCAGCAAGTGCTTCAAGTCATCTTCACTTTCAGCAAGCAAGGCTGTGCCACCCATATTATTGCAGGTTGTTAATGAATCTTCCCCTCATCCTGAAGCCACATTCTTCTTCATATAGATTATGTGCTAAGGAGCTCTGGTAGCATAGTGCCTAAGGCACTTGACTGCTCACCAGAAGGCTGGCGGTTCAAACCCACCAGCCACTCCTCGGAAGGAAGGTTGGGCAATCCTACTTCCGTAGTGATACTGCCTCGGAAACCCAAGGAGGGGTCGCTATGAGTCGGGGACGACTCGACGGCATATAACAACAACAACAACATACAGATTGAACGAGTATGGTGAGAAGATAAAACCCTGATGCACGCCTTTCCTGATTTTAAACCATTCCATACTCCCTTGTTCTGTTCTAACAAATGCCTCTTTGTCTATGTACAGGTTCCTCACGAGCATATTAAGTGTGCTGGAATTCTCATTCTTCGCAACGTTATCCGTATTTTGTTATGATCCACACAGTTGAATGCCTTTGCATAGTCAATAAAACCAAATATATACCATAGTATGTTAGAATTGTTGCCACTGGGTGCCCTCTAACTCATTTTCAACTCACAGCAACACCATGTGACAGAGCAGAACTGTCTCATTGGGGTTTCTAGGCTGACTTCTACAGAAGCAGATCATCAGGTCTTTCTCCAAAATACTAGGGCTCATTTGCTTCAGTAATAATAATATCCAATTATTTCTCACCAGATACTTAGATGTGTAAAGCATCACACATTTGTAAATCACAATAGGTTTTCAAGTTCCTTCCCATGAACTTGTTTATAATCTGATACTTACACACACAGTCTATGCAGTACCAAAAACCCAAACCCACTGCTGTAGAGTTGGATCCAACTCACAGCGACCCCTCCCCCTTGGGTTTCCGAGGAGGTATCACTACAAAAGTAGATTGCCCAACCTTCCTTCCAAGGAGCAGCTGGTGGGTTTGAACCACCAGCCTTCTGGTTAGCAGTCAAGTGTCTTAGGTACTACGCCACCAGAGCTCCCATGCAGTACAAAAGGTAGGTATTATTATCCTCATTTTACAGAGGCAAAAGTAAGAACAGTAGGGGCTTGCCCAATTTATGCAGACGCCTTCCTCTTCAAGTTTTCTATCCTTTTCCAAAAAGTAAAGGATACCTACACAACTATTGTTCTGTACTCATATAATGCTAAAGAAAATGGAGGAAATCAAAGGCTTAAAGAAGACACTAGTCCATGCAACTAATAACCCACACAAGCCACAGCCTCTTTTAACTTGAGACCAAAAGAACTAGATAATGCCTACTATCCACTGTTCTGACCAAACAACAAACAAACACATCACACTGCCAACAAGTCAGATTTGACTCATAGTGACCCCTCCCCCTCCCCTTGGGTTTCCGAGGCTGTATCACTACAGAAGTAGATTACGCAACCTTCCTTCAGAGGAATGGCTGGTAGGTTTGAACCGCCAGCCTTCTGGTTAGTGGTCAAATGCCTTCTGAGCAGGGATACTATGTAAGTTCCTGATAGGATGGGAGAAAAATGTAGAAAACTCAAATTCCTAAAAAAGACCAGATCTACTGGACTGACAGATATTAGAGGAAACTCTGAGACTATCACCCTAAGATATTCTCTGAACTTGGAATTTAAACGATTTTGGCAGGTCACCTTTCAGTCAAGTAATAGATTAGCTTATAAAATAAACAGTGTCACCCATAAGTAATGTGTTCCCGTAAATAATATGAGACAAAATGGTCAACATTTACCCAAAAGCAAAGACAAGAAGGCAAAGAATGAAAGAGAAGCTAGATCAGAACAGAACTGAAATGAGAAGGCTGACAACAGTGAAAAAGTCTCTTAGAAAAAGAAATACAAGTAATCAATAAAAATATTAAATAATAATACCAAATGTGAAAATAGAGCTTTTCATATGGTAGGCAGTGTGGGAAGCACAACAAACCTATGCAATAGAACTACTATTAATCTGCTTTACAGGTAAGGCAGGCACAGAGAAAATAAGTAAACTGCCTGTTATCAGAACAAGCTGCAAAACAGGACAACTTCAGTAGTAATTATGAAGGTGAAATTATAAAATTGAGGGTTTTTTTTCACTGATTGCCTTAGTTCTTTAGCACTGCTATATCTGCGTGAGCGTGAAGCGTACTTTTGGGAGCTCTGCTAGCTTAGCACCTAAGGCATTTGACCGCTAACCAGAAGGCTGGCGGCTCAAACCCACCAGCCACTCCTTGGAAGGAAGGTTGGGCAATCTACCTCCCTAGTGGTACCACCTCGGAAACCCAGGGAGGGGCCGCTATGAGTCGGGTCCGACTTGACAGCACGTAACAACAACCTCAACATCAGCAGGCGACATGGTAGGCTACTGGTTCAATCCTAGGAACAGTCCCAAGGTCAGCAGACTCATAGTGACCCCTCCAAAATGTGCCAGAAAGCTACAGACCTTTCCCAAGCTTCTCCATATATATACTGCATGCAGGTCACACCACTAAGGTTACTCCCCTTCAACTATTTAGTTCTTCACAGCACATTCCACAACATTGTTGTTATATGCTGATGAGCGGGACCTGACTCATAGCGACCACTCCTTGGGTTTCCGACCCCTCCTCCTTGGGTTCCCAAGGCAGTATCACTATGAAAGTAGATTGCTCAACCTTCCTTCTGAGGAGTGGCTGGTGAGTTTGAACCACCAGCCTTCTGGTTAGCAGTCAAGTGCCTTAGGCACTATGCTACCAGAGCTCCCACATTCCACCAAAGAGGTGATTATAATCTCATCCAGGTTACAACTCCATCCAGCTGCCAAGCCACTCAAAACAATGGCCCAGCCAAGTTGACACACAACCTTAACTACCACATTGATCAGATTGGGGGGGGATGCTTACGACTGATAATATCAAGAATTAGTGAGCTAAAGGAGCCTGGTGTCCCAGATTGAGCCCATGAGCACTCCAGGGGAGAATCATACAGCAAGCAATCTGCTTCTATAGAGATTACAGCCTTGGCAACCCTATGGGGCAGTTCCACTCTGTCCTACAGGCTTGCCATGAGTTAAAATTGAAAAGACAGCAATGAGTTTAGTTTGGTTAGGCTAAAAACAGACATAGAAAGCTCTTTAATGCATAAAGTGAAAACACAAGTTAAAAGATACTCTGATTAAGAAGTCAGTTTCACTTTTTATATACACCTAACATTACAAAAAGTTTTATGGAAACTAAACAATTTAAAAATCCTAAAGAAACTCACCTATTATCTTCCTTAGCCGTTTGGGTCTGATGAAAGTTATTTGGATAATTTTTTTCTTACCATTCAAACTATTAGCTATCAATTCAATGTTTTTCTCTACTTCGAATTAGCTCCAATTTCTTCCATTTGTTCTCTAGGCTGAGCTTACTGTTTACCTTTCCCAATGAATGATGCTCCATATCCTGTCAATCTCTTTCTGGGTGACCTTTTCTTAACCTGTAAATATACTTAAATCGCCTCTACTAAATAACACCAATTTCTGATCTTCCCTTCCCCCAAGTCTTAAAAAGATTGTCTCTGTCTCCCCTTTAACTTCTTCCATTCTCTTTCATCACCTGGCCTGTGTCAAACAACTGGATTTGCATTATTAAACCAGAGGATCTTAAATGAGGTGCATTAATGACTTTGAAGACAAACTCCCATGCAAAGTTTTGTGTGAATGTGCATTTGCGGGGAGAGAAGAAAGATCTGATCCACAGATCACTGCTTCTCAATTTTCATTCTTTTGGCCCCCTCCTAAGCATTAGGGTAGCATAGTGCCTAAGGCACTTGACTGCTAACCAGAA